ATATATAATTATTAAATATAATTCAAATAGATAATAATACAGTGCTCAAATATAAGAGAACGTGATGTTATAACTAGTATCAAACATAGTTCATCAACGAAAGTTCTTTAATTAGCTGTAAGAATCGAACCCTCAATCTCTCGCTATCTCTACGAGCGTCATACATTTAGACTACAGAGGCCCGTATGATATTATTACAGATCTAAGACCACTAGTCTCTCTGCCTTCATACAACTTGAGGGCCTGAGGCCTGCATATGGAAAGAATTTAGTTATTTTAACAATATTCTTTTTTAAATTTAACTGTAGGTGCATCACATTCTGCGGGAGATGCTGTCTCTTATACACATCTTATATATAAGTATCAATGACCGTGAAACTCTCAAGCGTCACGTTATATTTTTATTTTTATGTATTTGTGCGTCTGTTTTTGAGAGCAGATGAGGTTAGTAGGTTTCGTGCCTGCTTCAATTACAGTCGATGCTGTGTTTCAGCTAGAGGGCTGAACTTAGTCCCGTGTTCAATATGTCCCATTTGCACGTCAAAAAAATCGCAGTACATGCTTGGTCCGGAGAGCATGCCGAATGCTAAACAGATGGAGGGGTAGAGTGTAGAACACACCAGCCTACCATGGATGAGCTGAGCTACGAAAATGTTATTGATATGGCTCCTCTAGGTTTCTAATTTTTTTCAATTTTCAAAAAGCTATGGTCCCGGGCCGGCTGCCCCACCCCCTTGAATTCACAATTGTGCAGCTACGTAGGCCTACGTGAGATTTAACAAATAATGTTTTCGTAATGATCCGTTTTATTTTCCAGGTGGAGTTTGGGTTTACAGTGATGGTACAAATAGGGGACAAGCCAGTGCCATGTACAATGGCCTTGTTACCAATACCAGCAAAGAAATGTCCTGTTTTAGCGACTTTCCATTTCCGAAAGAATATCCACCGTACTTATCTATTCATCACATAATCAAATATTGTCGCGACTACGCTAAATATCATAATTTAGAGGAATACATTAGTTTCAACATAGAAGTGACCGACGTCAGCCCTGCAGACGATAACCAATCAACTGGCCAATGGAATATCACTACTCGACGAATTCAACAAGAGCAGCCGATACAACACACTGACGTATTTGATGCAGTCATGGTTTGCACGGGATGTTATTCAAACATGAAAATGCCAATTTACCGGGGTATGGACGAGTTTAAAGGACAGATTATTCACAGTAACATGTTTAGGAAGGGAGCAGATTTTGCTGGACAGAATGTTCTTGTTATAGGTAGGCACTACAATTTACCAAGGCTTATAATATTCAGTATTTTCCATCTTGATTTTATAACGACATATGCAGTATTGTCAGGATACTCCATTCATGTCATCCCATGAGCATAGCGCTTGCTTGATAAATGACGATATTAATTTTTTGAAATACTGTAATGAATTGAGCTGAGTGTTTGGACGAGAGGTAATGTTCCTATGTGTGTTGAAGATACCGGTTCAAATCCGGTCAACGTCGAATTTTAGCTGGAGTCAATCGAATAACCCTCGTATGAGTTAGATGAGACAAGGCTTGATCGCTAGGCCTCTCGAATAACCCCAGCATAAGAGTTAGGTGAGACAAGAAACATGACAAGACCCCGCCGCAATTTTTAATTCCAAATTTGGAATAATGACAAAAATGAAATAAAATTTTAAAAATAAAATAAAATAATAGTTTTATAATAGCAATGGTAATGTAATGATGATGATGATCGTGGTGGTGATACTGTCTCTTATACACATCTAGATGTGTATAAGAGACAGCCAGTACCATGTAAGAGACAGATATATATGTATATATATAATATATATATGTATATAATACATATATATACATTCATATTTTATAATATTACTTATAATATTATTATATATATAATTATTAAATATAATTCAAATAGATAATAATACAGTGCTCAAATATAAGAGAACGTGATGTTATAACTAGTATCAAACATAGTTCATCAACGAAAGTTCTTTAATTAGCTGTAAGAATCGAACCCTCAATCTCTCGCTATCTCTACGAGCGTCATACATTTAGACTACAGAGGCCCGTATGATATTATTACAGATCTAAGACCACTAGTCTCTCTGCCTTCATACAACTTGAGGGCCTGAGGCCTGCATATGGAAAGAATTTAGTTATTTTAACAATATTCTTTTTTAAATTTAACTGTAGGTGCATCACATTCTGCGGGAGATGTTGCGACACAGTGCAGTCACTATGCTAATTCGGTAAGACATTTATATGAACAAATATAAAAAATAATAATGTAAATGATTAGTATTTTTGTTGCTCTTAAATTCGTCTTTATACTACTTTCTGTTCGGAAGTTTGGCTCTATTGTACATGAGTTTACAAAGACCAGTACGGTCACAAAGCAAGACCTTAGACTGTTTGGAAAACTCAACAATAAGGTGGAAAAAGCAGACGCAGACATAAATTTTCTCAAAAATTGTAGTGTTTTCGGCGTTTTCCCTAAATTTATTACAATTAAAAGATTAATAATAATAATAATAATAATTAGACTTACTATGTCTGTTTGAACAACAGAACATAGAGCTTTTCCCCATTGCTTTAATAATGAGAAATGAAGTTGAAAGTGCAACAAAAAGAAAAGTTGTTAAAAAGAATAAAGTAAAAGAAAACACGAAAAACGAATATAATTTTAATTAAGTGGGGAAAAAAGGAAAACCAAGTTCACTGCGACGTTATTAGTGTGACTTGAACTATTAGTCCGGTGGCTTATGTCATCCCGTGGGAATTTCGTGATCATTTTGTTTTTGTTTTTTAATTATATACTTTGAAGTATGCTGAATCGAATAAAATGAGTCGCCAATTTTTTTACGCTCATCTTCATATGCAAATTAGCTGAAATATGCAAATTAGGTCTGAAAATGTAGGGTACTTATATCTTGGTAACCACATGTCGTAGAAAGTTGCTTCTTTCTTAAAGTTGTTCTAAACATGCATGTTTCTATTTACCCTAATAGAACATTTTCTTCAAAAATGACCGGAAGTGCCATTTTGCCGACCTTATTAGCATAAATATGCAAATTAGGGGTGGAAATATAGGGAGCTATATCTTGAAAACCACTGGTCGTACAGAGTTGCTTTTTGCAGCAAAATGTTTAAAACATGCATATTTATATTTACTATAATGGACAATTTTCTCTAGAAATTACCGGAAATTGCGTTTGCATATTATCACGGTAGTTTTGAGTTTAACCTAGCTGTAACTGGTTTAATCACTTTAGAAATTAAATAATTTAACGAACTGTCAACAAAAAGGTCTTTAAATGGTCCTCATATCCACACCCTACTGCAGATCGTCACCAACATTGGATAATTTCTTCATTTCACCATGAAAAACTATTCTGCAAAGTGTCATTTTTATCCATCTATAAATGGGACGTAACCAATTTAAATAACCCTAAAATTTACACCCTAACATGGATCGTCCCCTACACATAAAAATTTCTTCCTTGTAACTTGATTAAACTTTACCGTAAGTTCCATTCAGATCAACTGACCGGTTTTTGAAATATCCCGTGCATAATTATTATTGTTATTTATTAGTATTTTATCATTATTTCATATTTATTAGTATTATTACTATGGTGACACAGCAATAATGAAAACTATAAGGATTTGATAATATCGATAATGATCAGATAATAATTATGAAAATGATATTGATAATGATGGTTACAATGATGGTGATGGCGGAAAAGGGTGAGTGTAGAAACCGTAGTAAAACTGTAATCGTAATGAGAATAAGAATATTTGGTAAATAAATATATAGTATAGTGTTGTTATTATTTCTTGAGATTCTAATATTCTTTAGTACTTGTACTAGAATAGAGTTAAAGTTACATCTCAGGAGGAAGACTTTCAGTGCACATTTGTTTTCTGAGCCTTATCCTCTTTCAGGTAATAAAGATTTAATTTTTGATAATCTCATTTTGGTTAGAATATATTGTCATCAATATTGTTGATTTAGATAACTGCATAGGCCTATTTTACATTTGCTGTGTCTTCCCTCAGACGTATATAAGCTTAAGAAGTGGATGCTACGTTTTCTCAAGACGGGGCCCAAATGGAGTACCAGCTGATTCCGTTTCGAATTGTCGGGCAGTTTCCAAGTTGCCTAAGTTCGTGCGCTCAAAATTGATCGTGAGATTTATTGAATCAAGGATGGACTTAGATAGCCTCGGTCTGAGATCAAACAAAGACATCTTCAGTGAAAGTACAATGGTAAATGACTCGTTACCTGACCGAATTCTCAACGGTACGCTAAAAGTTAAATCACAAATCGATATGTTCACCGAGAATGGAATCAAGTTTGTCGATGGAACGAGTATAAAAGACATCGACACCGTCATATGCGCAACTGGATATTATACACGTTTTCCATTTATTAATCGAGAAATTTTTGATGGCAAGTATTGACGTTGTTATTTTATTAAATCAATCGAAACTAGCTCTATGTAAAGCAGACACACTACCTATTACGTCGGCCGCAACATGAAGACGCATTACAGATTATTTTGAACTCAGATTAATTAGACGGCGTTTGGTCGTGATGCGCTCACAGAGCAAAGATTGATTCATAAGTCAACAGATTGGATGCCTGGCTATACATAAGGTTTCATATTCCTGAGGTTTTTTGTTTTTACAGTATTAGTAATTAATTAAGTGTTATTGGTTATTTTTTAATGATCCAAAGTCAAGTGTAAAATTGAGATGTTACTATTTTTTACACTTGACTTTGGATCATTATAAAATAACCACTAATACTTCCAATGAATTTATTCAAAATTATTATGTTTTTTTTTTGTTTTTCCTTTTTTTTTTGTCAACAGATACTAAGCTTGAGCTGTACAAACATGTGTTATCACCAGAACATCCGACTCTTGCTTTTATTGGAGCACTGGGCGCTCAAGGGGCAGTGGCACCTGTCGTTGAGCTTCAAGCCCGCTGGGCAGCTTCCATTTTTTCTAGAGCAATAGATATTCCATGTTTAGAATCTCGATACCGCGACGCAAAAAGACGAATCAACGACATGGTGAAAAGATATGGTTACCGTAAAATTTCTGTAAGTAAGGAAGTAGTTTTTTCCCCATATTAACCAAAAATTAAAAGAAGGCTCCCAGCGGGAGCGTGTGCCTATGCCCTATTGCCTTCCTGTATCATGTTTACTAATAAAGTATCCACATAGGGATTCGGTTATCAGGAAATGTGTGGCGTTTTTTTATTATGTCTTTGGCACAGTAATATGGTACTTAAGTTGACACATGACCCGTCATGCACCCCCACCGGGTTACCCTATCAGCCATCTTTAACTGCCAAATGATAACATAGTGTCTATACCCCCGAATGGGCATGGACACAAAATCAGATCGAGATGTAAATAACTATAGATGTATAGATGTACAAATGATAAAATGAATATGTGTATTAAAAAACGAAAGGTAATATTTAAAAAAAAATCAATATGGACTGAGAATGTGTGGATTAAACCCGGTTTTCAATAATTGCTAAAATGATTGTCTTCCATGGATCATTGAAGCGTGTAAAGAAGAGTTGGGTCAAGGTGACTGAAGCTGCTTAGGAAAATTCCCTGTATAGAATTGCAAAATTTAAGATGATTGGGCGAAATGACCACCGATTAGAAAGGTTATTTAATAACTATGTATTGTGTGTTTCCTGTTTTACTTTCGAAAAGTCAAAGCTGTGAGAATACTCAAAATTCTACCAAAATTCAAACATCCAATGCATGGCTATCAGGATTAAACAAGCAATTTGGCTAATTTGGTAAGAAATAATTAGACAAATTAGAAATTTCATTAGCCAAAACAAAAGAATATAAGACTTATAGCTTTAATTCCATTAGCTGTTTGGCTAATTTTTAATGATTTATCAAAATTCTGGTTTTATTTGGATTTGGCTATTTGGCTAATTGACTTTAACACTGGGCTATACC